GAATTCATGGCTTTTTTCCCCATGATTCTTAAGTCTTTCAGAGTTAATTTTTTTATTTTATTTTTTCTTTTTCTTTTTTTTTTGAATTTTTCTTCTTTCCTTTTTCAACCAACATCTTATCAATTCCTTTTTAAAAATCTTTTTAATTTTCATCCTTACAGCCCTATTCCATCCCTTCATTGTATTTACCTTTATTTTTGTATATATATAAGCTTTTCTTTCTTTAAAATTTTGGGAGGCAATTTCTTCTAACAGACCAAAATACACCCAAAATCTAGTGTGTGGCTCTGTTCTATTCACCAGCATGATCATATATATATATTTTTTCCTTTCTTTTCGCCCCAGTTCTGGGTCTCTTCTGATTTGTTTAGTGTATATTTCTCTGGGGTTGTTGTTGCCATTTTAGTATTTTGTTCTCTCGTTCATCTATTCTTCTCTGGACAAAATGACAAAACAGAAAAACTCACCTCAAAAAAAAGAACAAATGGGGTGCCTGGGTGGCTCAGGTCATGATCCCAAGGTCCTGGGATCGAGCCCCACATCAGGCTCCCTGATCGGCAGGAAGCCTGCTTCTCCCTCTCCCACTCCCCCTGCTTGTGTTGCTGTCTCACTATCTCTCTCTCTGTCAAATAAATAAATAAATAATCTTAAAAAAAAAAAGAAAGAAAGAGGCAGTACTGACTGGCAGGGACCGAATCAATACAGACATTAGTAAGATGTCAGAGCTAGAGTTCAGAATAACAATTATAAAGATACTAGCTGGGCTTGAAAAAAGCATGGAAGATACTAGAGAATCTCTTTCTGGAGAAATAAAAGAACTAAAATCTAATCAAGTTGAAATCAAAAAGGCTATTAATGAGGTGCAATAAAAAATGGAGGCTCTAACTGCTAGGATAAATGAGGCAGAAGAGAGAATTAGTGATATAGAAGACCAAATGATGGAGAATAAAGAAGCTGAGAAAAAGAGATAAACAACTACTGGATCACGAGGGCAGAATTCGAGAGATAAGTGATACCATAAGATGAAATATTAGAATAATTGGGATCCCAGAAGAAGAAGAAAGAGAGAGAAGGGCAGAAGGTATATTGGAGCAAATTACAGTGGAGAACATCCCTAATTTGGGGAAGGAAACAGGCATCAAAGTCCAGGAGGCACAGAGAACCCCCTTCAAAATCAATAAAAATAGGTCAATACCCCGACATCTAATAGTAAAACTTACAAGTCTCAGAGACAAAGAGAAAATCTGAAAGCAGCTCAGGACAAGAGGTCTGTAACCTACAATGGCAGAAACACTAGATTGGCAGCAGACCTATCCACAGAGACCTGGCAGGCCAGAAAGGACTGGCATGATATATTCAGAGCACTGAATGAGAAAAATATGCAGCCAAGAATGCTATATCCAGCTAGGCTGTCATTGAAAATAGGAGAGATAAAAAGCTTCCAGGACAAACAAAAACTAAAAGAATTTGCGAACACCAAACCAGCCCTACAAGAAATATTGAAAGGGGTTCTCTAAGCAAAGAGAGAGCCTAAAAGTAACATAGACCAGAAAGGAAAAGAGACAATATACAGTAATAGTCACCTTACAGGCAATACAATGGCACTAAATTCATATCTTTCAATAGTTACCCTGAATGTAAATGGGCTAAATGCCCCAATCAAAAGACACAGAGTATCAGATTGGATAAAAAAATAAGAACCATTGATACACCACACACAAAAATAGACTCAAAATGGATGAAAGACCTAAATGTGAGACAGGAATTCATCAAAATCCTTGAGGAGAACACAGGCAGCAACCTCTTCGACCTCAGCCACAGCAACTTCTTCCTAGAAACATCACCAAAGGCAAGGGAAGCAAGGGCAAAAATGAACTACTGGGACTTCATCAAGATAAAAAGCTTTAGCCCAGCAAGGGAAATAGTCAGCAAAACCAAAAGACAACAAACAGAATGGGAGAAGATATTTGCAAATGACATATCAGATAAAGGGCTAGTACCCAAAATCTATAAAGAACTTATCAAACTCAACACCCAAAGAACAAATGATCCAATCAAGAAATGGGCAGAAGACATGAACAGACATTTTTCCAAAGACGACATCCAAATGGCCAACAGACACATGAAAAAGTGCTCAACATTGCTCAGCATCAGGGAAATCCAAATCAAAACCTCAATGAGATACCACCTCACACCAGTCAGAATGGCTAAAATTAACAAGTCAGGAAACGACAGATGTTGGCGGTGATGCGGAGAAAGGGGAACCCTCCTACGCTGTTGGTGGGAATGCAAGCTGGTGCAGCCACTCTGGAAAACTGTATGGACATTCCTCAGAAAGTTGAAAATAGATTTACCCTATAACCCAGCAATTGCACTACTGGGCATTTACCCCAACGGTACAAATGTAGTGATCTGAAGGGGCACCTGCAGCCCAATGTTTATAGCAGCAATGTCCACAGTAGCCAAACTATAGAAAGAGCCTAGATGTCCATCAACAGATGAATGGATAAAGAAGATGTGAGATATAGATAGATATAGATATAGATATAGATACACACAATGGAATATTATGCAGCCATCAAAAAATGAAATCTTGCCATTTGCAATGACATGGATGGAACTAGAGGGTATTATGCTAAGCGAAATAAGTCAATCAGAGAAAGACAATTATCATATGATCTCACTGATATGAGGAATTTGAGAAACAAGATAGAGGATCATAGGGGAAGGGAAGGAAAAATGAAACAAGAGGAAACCAGAGAGGAAGACAAACCATAAGAGACTTAATCTCAGGAAACAAAATGAGGGTTGCTGGAGTGGAGGGGGCTGGGAGAGATGGGGTGGCTGGGTGATGGACACTGGGGAGGATATGTACTATGGTGGGCACTGTGAATTGTATAAGACTGATGAATCACAGACCTGTACCCCTGAAACAAATAATACATTAAATGTTAATTAAATAAATAAACTAAAATAATAATAATAATAAAAACGATTGCCCTGACAGGAACAGCACCTTTACAGAAGAGGTCTGAGCACAGCGGTGACAGTGGGACAGTCACCTTTGGCTTTTTCACCCAACCAGAAGATTTGCCATCAGGCTCTGAGCCTTCGAAGCACTCACTTCACTTGATCTTTATCTGTACTGGTGCAGGCTCTTCAGTCAAGAAAGCTTACAAGGCAGCTTTGAATAAAGGTGACTTCCTTCTCTGCTCAAGAGATTCGCCTTTCTAAAAGACATGAGGAAATAGTCTCACAAAGATCAACATTACTTCAACAAATGGAGAGTCAATCTGTAGATGAAAAAGAGGAAAAGGCATGTTAGATGCAAGCAGCTAAGACTTCTTTTATAAGGAACCTTAGTCTTTTAAAGGATATAGAAACAACAGCAAAGTCTCTACAGACCCGGATTCACCCAATTCCACCACCAGAGATGGTTTCTCTTGAGACTCTTTACTGGGTATCAATAGAAGAATATATTCCCAAATGGGAACAGTTTCTTTTAGGAAGAGCACCATATCCTATCAGTGTTGAAAATGGAAATAAAACAGAAAATACCACTCAAAAGGGGGCACAGTGATAACTTCCTCATATACTCTTTCAAAAAAAAAAAAAAACCTGTTTGGTACAGCTGAATATTAAAGAATACGCAGGTCATTTCAGGAACATAAGAATCGAACATGTTCATATTGTCCCATTACCTCCTCAATGACAGTGAAGAGAGGAGAATCTGCTGACAAGTCTCTGGTTATCACTTTGAGACCTACTACTACTTCGAGGTCATGAATTTGCTTTCTGCCAAACCCATGGATGTGTTAAGAGCTAATATTGAAAGGTGGGCTGTTTATTAAATATGTTGCTAAAAATAAATAAATACATAAATAAATAAGTAAGAAAAAGAAAAACTATTTCCCTAAAGTGAAATTTATCTTAATTTTACTATTTAAATCAGCCACAAGACAATTTTAAAGAAAGACTAACATTCCCTAAAATGAAATGATGGGGCATCATTTAAAACTATTCATTTAAATAAATCCCAGTGGTCCATTGTATATAAATGAAACCTACTTACATATACATACACAAGGATTTTAACTACTGTCTCACTGAATTTATAATTTAGCATTTTAAAAGAAAGTTCTAAGTTATTTCATTTTGTGCATATTAAGCATTTCTGTGTGTCAGCTTTTTAGGGAGGCATAAAAACGACTTGTCTTATCTGAGTGAGACTTCTTGCCTTTTGTAAAGTCTGATACGAGAGCACTAGCAAGTTTTGTCCCTCCTTGGAAACCTAATTTCTGTTCTACACAGAATGCTTCAGAATGGTAATAACATTTACAGAGCACATCCAGTGGCAGGCACTTTATATACACTTCATCTCATTTCATCCTTAAAACATCTCCGTGAGGCAAGTTCTATTTATTATTTCCATTCTATATATGAAGAGACTAAGACACACAGAGGTTAAATAATTGGCCTAAGGTCACACAGCTACTGAGTAAGGGAAGCAGGATTCAAACAGGAGTGGGCTTCAGAGTCCACTGACATTGTTGAACTTTATCTGAGCCCTCTGCTCCCAGAAAGCAGCTGAGATACCTCCCGACCTTCTTGTGTTCCAGCTAGCCTCAAAGGACCCCCTGCCCAGCAGAGATAAGACCTGTCTTCACCACCTCCTTTCAGGACTCTCCTTTACCTTCCTCAACAAAACCCCAGACCCTCTTTTTTTCTTTGAGACATTCATTCCTCCTTCATGAGTGAGCATTTTTCCCTTGCACTAGCTGGAATAAAATCATCTCTTTAATCATCCTGTGCATTTTCACACCAGAAACTTAACCACATACAGACAAGTTTGCCAATACCCGAGAAAATAACATCCGATTCAGAGGTTCCTACACTGTGGTCAGGTAATGTCTCTTTTGGTGGAGTGGCCCACATACATTTTATCCATCGTCTCATAAACACTTCAGAATTTTTTTTTAAAGATTTTATTTATTTGACAGAGACACGGCGAAAGAGGGAATACAAGCAGGGGGAGTGGAGAGGGAGAAGCAGGCTTCCCACGGAGCAGGGAGCCCGATGTGGGGCTCGATCCCAGGACCCTGGGATCATGACCTGAGCCCAAGGCAGACGCTTAACGACTGAGCCACCCAGAGAAGGCAGATCCCTGAGAAGATATGCGGTACGGTCCATTCCCAGAAACTAAGACTATTTTTTTTCCAAAGATTTTATTTATTTATTTGAGAGAGCAAAACAAGAGAGATCACAGAGGCAGATAGAGAAGCAGACTCGCTGCTGAGCGGCGAGCTTGATGCAGGGCTCGATCCCAGGACCCCAAGATCATGACCTTAGTCGAAGGCAGATGCTTAACTGACTGAGCCACCCTGGCGCCCTGAAAACTAAGACTATTAAAGCTGATTTGACAGATTTGATGTTTTGAAAATAGAATTTCTTTCCCCAAATCAATCTCTCTCCAACCTCCCTCTTGCCACTCTCTGCTTCCTTCTCTCCCTCTCTCAAAATGTCATTAAATGTGAATGTTCTCAATAGAAAGGTTTAGCAAAATCCCCCATCAGCATTTATGAGCGTCTCCTATGTACCACTGTACTACTTTCTAGGGTATAGAAACAAGTAAAACCCGTGGCTTGCTCTCATAGAGTTCACACAGAATTAGAGCTCAAATCTAGCTGTACTCTACCGGAGAGCTCTCTGTACAGGATTGCTTATTGAAAGCACATTGGATGAGGACAGCTGTATAGAAAGTGCCCTCGAACACTGACATCAAGTACGAGATGATCATGACAAAAAAGCTTCCTCCTCCCTTAACTAGCACCCCTAAATTCCTCCCACTTTAGTCAAAGGTTTGACATTTAGCTTTCAACAAATATTAAGAACCTACCAAGTTCTGGGAACTCTTCCAAGCACTGCAGAAATAATCTCATGGTTGGATCTCTCTGTGCTTGGTCTCTCCGTTTTTCTACAGTGTCAGGAGTAAGGCACACATTTAACGCAATAAAAAGTTCTCTATCTTCTGCATGACACTTGCTTTTATTTTCCAGGAGGGCAAACTTCAGGACATACAGGAAGGAGTTCCATCTCATTCTCAGAAGTTCACCATGTCTGATACTGCTGGTATCCAAGACTTTCCTTCTTTTTTCTCAAGATCCAGAGAAAAACTTTCTTTTTGCTTCTAATATTACCATAGATGGCAAACAAGACATATCATTTTTACAGTGTTCTTTGGGGCAATTTTAATTAACCTTCATTAAAATAAATTTGAGAAATGTCTGGAAGAAGGGACAAATATTGGTAAGGTCATTAAATGGAGTAGTTATGTCATCAAAGATAATTATCTAGGTTTCGGTCATGGTCTCTCCTTTATTACTGAAATGATGGCCCACTTATAGGACACGTGTCCTTTCTTAGCAAGGGCTTTACTTTCACCCAGCATTTTTATGGTCATGATCGTTGTCATATTGCTTTAAAATCTTACTTGAATTAGCAATGAGTTATCTTTGTCAGAAGCTGTGTCTGCTTCTTATGAGGCAGTTACTGATAGAAGACAGCTGAGATGGAGGGCTAGTGCAAACACCTGGGGCAAGCAAGGCCCTATGGGCTCGCTCCACCCCCGGGCTGCCTGGCTCACCTGTCTGCAGCCATCTGCTTTCTCCTAAGCTCACCTGCCGTTCCTTCCCTTGGATTCTACTCCTGCCTCTAAGGCTGTTTAGTCAAATTAACCTCTGGGAGGGTAGGTGCCGCTTCACAGGTGCTGGGGGAAGGGTAAAAATAAATAGAAAAGATAAATAAATTTTCCCCAGTGCAGCAATGGAAAGAGACACCCCCCACCACCACCACCACTACTTTTCTTAGAGAGCGTTAAAGACAATTTGTAATTGCAAATTCTTCTCTGTCCCTTTGAGGTGTATGTATGTCTTTTTCAAAGTGAAATTAAGTTTTTGCCATCTTTACAATCCAGGAATGTCTTTCTTAAGGGCCTGGGCGCCATCTCTTTGATATGAATCATCAAGAAGATAGCATTCCTCTGTCCCAGTTTCTGTGGGATGGTAGGAGCAGGTGCCTGGCTCTAAGCTGTAAAACGACTACCTGTCCTAAAGACACAGGAAGTCTTCTTTTCCCTTTGGGTGAAGGCAACTGCTGACACAAATGGCCACTCGATTGTGGCTGTCCTGTGTGACGAACGGTGCTGCCACGTCCTCTTACTTGAGGAGTTGTTATTGTTCATCTTGAGGACATGTACAGAATAGGTTATATCCGCCTGGGTAAATAAAAAGGTGAGATTTTTTTTCTGCCTTTGCCATATCTTTAGCTGATAGCCTGTGATGCACATCTCATTCTGGCTTAATGATTATTCAATTCATAAAACTGTTTTCTTTCTCTTCTCCTTGGTTGGCAGAAGATTTCATTGTTAATGACATTCCCCCAACATCATCAGAACCTGGGAAGACAAGGTGTGACTGCATTATACACCGTGGGGGGCAGGGCCGGTCATCCCAAGATGGAAAGAGCTTTATTTACTGAAACCCCTTTACAGGCAAAGCACTGTACATATGTTAGCGGAACTCCTGGATAAGTCACTTGTAGTTGGGGTTGAGAACCCCAAAGACCAGGCTGGAGTTAAAATAAATTGCTTCCAAGGAGGTTTGTTTCATTAACAACTATAGGATTTTTTAAAATACTGAATACGTGTGCAAATATGGTCCCAGAGCTGGACTTGGAAAGAGGCTGACCTCTGCCACCAGTCCCCACACAGCCTTATATTTGATGTTAAACAAATCTGTAAAACCATGATTTTGAAGGGGTGCAAAATTATTGTTAGTCTGAGGCACCCACATGTCTAAGTCTGATCCTACCAGACAGCTCTCACACCTAGAGGGTCCATTTCCCTGCATTAGCCTTCACCTGGAGCCTCCCACCCGCCTTCCTCCTGAGCTTCACGTTAGAACTCCTCCTGACCAAGACCCAAACCAACCACTCAGCTGAGGCTTAGGAGTCCTCTGTGATGGGCATATCCATGAACAAACGGGGTTGCTTCCCCTGTGCAGCCCTTCAAAACATTATTAATATCTATAAATGCCCTTAAAACAGAGTCTGGTATATAGCAGGTAATGTTTAACTTTTGATAAGACAGAGTAAATGGAGATTTTTTTTTAAGATTTTATTTTTAAGTAAACACTACATCCAACATGGGGCTTGGAACTCACAACCCTGAGATAAAGAGTCACAGGCTCTTCCAACTGAGCCAGCCAGGTACCCCAAGTAAATGGAGAATTTGAGAGGCTTCCAAAATTAGCAAGAAAAGGACAGGGTTATGTTGTAAAGCCCCTAGAGAATCTGGTGATTACACAGGACCTGAGAGGCCCCAATAAGACAAAAGTGGGGTTGAGGGCAGGGGGGAAGGAAAAAAACTACGATTAGAGAGATGATCCCTGGAGGGTTGAGAGGTGGATGCCGTTCAGGACAGGAGACTCAATTTTTTTTTTAAAGATTATATTTATTTATTTGAGAGAGAGCAAGAGCACACAAGCAGGGATAGGGAAGGGCAGAGGGAGAGTGAGAAGCAGGTTCCCTGCTGAGCAGGGAGCCCAAGGTGGGGCTGGGATCATGACCTGAGCTGAAGGCAGATGCTTAACCGACTGAGCCACCCAGGTGCCCAAGGAGACAATTTAAAAAGTGATATTTTGCACCATCAAATATTAAGATTTTATTTCAGGCAAAGTATTGGGCCTGCTCAGCCTCTGGAATTTCTATGTAGAACTCTGGCATTATATTTGGCTGGAACCCTCATTTTTTAAAAAACCACTTTAGGGGCACCTGGGTGCCTCAGGCAGTTAAGCATCTGCCTTTGGCTCAGGTCATGATTTCAGGGTCCTGGGATCGAGCCCTGTGTCAGGTTCCCTGCTCAGTGGGGAGTCTGTTTCTCCTTCTCCTTCTGCCCCTCCCCTGGCTCATGCTCTCTCTCTTTCTCAAATAAACAAATAAAATCTTTAAACGAAATAAAATTAAATAAAAAATTAAATAAAACCACTTTTTGAGGCATGATTGACATTAAAAAGCTGTACATATATAATATACACAACTTGATGAGTTTGGAGAGAAGTATATAGCCACAATCACCATGATCTATGTTATGGCACCACATGCCATAAACATATCCATATTCTACAAAAGTTTCCTCAACCCTTTTTATTATTATTATCCGTGTGCGTGTGTGTATGTGATAAGAATACTTAACATAAGATCTACCCTTGTAGCAAAAATTTTTTAAGATTTTATTTCTTTATCAGAGAGGGAGAGAGCACAGTAGGGGGAGCGGCAGGCAGAGGGAGAAGCAGACTCCCCACTGAGCAGGGAGCCCGATGGGGGACTTGATCCCAGGACCCTGGGATCATGACCTGAGCCGAAGGCAGACGCTTAACCGACTGAGCCACGCAGGTGTCCCTGTAGCAAAATTGTAAGTATGCAATACAGTATTGTTACCTATAGGCACTATGCTATACACTAGATCTCTAGCACTGATTCATCTTGCATAAGTGAAACGTTATAGCCCTTGACTAATCCTCCCTGTTGCCACCTCTCCACAGCTCCTAGCAACCACTCTTCTACTCTTTGCTTCTGTGAGTTTGACAATTTTAGATTACTCATGTAAGTGGTATCATGTAGTATTTGTCCTTCTGTGACTAGTGTATTTCACTTAGCATAAAACCCTCTAGGCCCATCCATGTTGTCTCACATGTCAGGATTTTTTTCTTTTTTAAGGCTGAATAATATAATATTCATTGTGTGAATATAACACATTTCTCTATCCATTCAGGCATTGATGGATATTTAGATTGTTTCCATGTCTTGGCTATTGTGAATAATGTTGCAATGAACATGGGAGAGCATGTATCTCTTTGAGATCCTAATTCCAGTTCTTTTGAATATATACCTAGAAATGGGAATCCTGGACCATACAGTTCTATTTTTTTATTTTTTTGAGGAACCCCCATACTGTTTTCTACAGTGGCTGCACCAATTTACATTCCCACCAACAGTGCATAAGGATTCCCTTTCTTTTTTCCACATCCTTGCCAACACTTGCTTTTCTGGGTTTTTTTGTTTTGGGTTTTGGTTTTGGTAAGGACCCTCATTCCTTTTTTTTTTTTTTTTTTAAGATTTTATTTATTTATTTGTCAGAGAGAGAGAGAGTGTGCACAAGCAGGGGGAGCGGCAGGGAGAGGGAGAAGTAGGCTCCCCGCTGAGCAGGGAGCCCAATGCAAGACTCGATCCCAGGATCCTGGGATCACGACCTCAGCCGAAGGCAGACCCTTAACCAACTGAGTCACTCAGGCATTCCCAAGGACCCCCGTTCTTATTTTTTATTTATTTATTTATTTTATTAGAAAGAGAGAGGGAGGGAGGGAGGGGCAGAGGGAGAGAGACAGTTTTAAGCAGGCTCCAACCCCTGTGGAGCCTGAAGTGGGGCTCCATGTGGGGCTTGATCCCCAAACCCTGAGATTATGACCTGAGCCAAAATCAAGAGTCAGATGCTTAACCACTGAGCCACCCAGGCACCCCTGGACCCTCGTTCTTAAATGTGCAGTTTCTTTTTTAGTTCTCACACATAGATATTAGTTCCTTCAGGGTCATCACCTATTGTTAAAGAGTTTGGAACTGATTCCATAATATCACCCAGCATAAGTTAAAGAATAGGTTTTATTGGTGAAAAAGAGAACTCACAACACCAGGATCAAGGGTGGTGGACAGTGTGTAGGTTGTGTTCTGGAGGAGGAAGCTTTTCCCCACCACCCCTTCTTCCTCTACCCCTCCCCAGTCCCCTCCCCACCAGAATAAATCTCCCTTTCTGTAGAACAAGTGCGAGACAGTGGCCTTGTTTGTAAGGAGTAAACACACTGCATGGTGCCAGACATGCTGGATTTAGAGATTTCTCTCTCTCTCTCTCTTTTTAAAGATTTTATTTTTAAATAATCTCTACACCCAATGTGGGGCTTGAACTCACATCCCAAAGATCAAGAGTCACACGCTCTAACCACTGGGCCAGCCAGGCTCTACAGGGTTTTGTCTCGTTATAGGGGTTGATTAGGAATGCTAGCTGCCCTGTACCTGGGGACCTTTGGGCCTGTGGGGTACGCAGTCTCCCATGAGGAGGTAAGGAAAGCTGAGAGGAAGTTGCCAGTCCCATGGGCAACTCTGCTGAGAGAATGAGGGAGCTTCTGAGGTCCCTGCTGACCCCAGGTGAACACACATTCTTGGATAGTCCTGCTCCTTATATTAACAGAGAATGTACTTCCCTTTTATCTTCACCCTGGGGGAAAAGGTGGTAGAACTTTCTAGAGTTGTTTACCATCACTGAATTTTCAAAAGATCTTATTCTAGGAGTGATTTTCACTCAAATCAAATGGTATATGAGAAAGAAAAAGGGAAAAAAAAAAAAAAAACCCTTGGGAACATTTGATATCTATACATCTCTTTCTTATACTCTCCCATCTTCTTATAAAATTCCAATGTGATTTGTATTTTTTACTGATGTGCAATTCACATAACATAAAACTAATCATTTTAAAGTGCACAATTCAATGACAACAGTATAATTATATTGTTGTACAATGACCATCTCTATCTAGTTCCAAAACTTCATCATCCCAAAAGAAAACCCTGTGCCCACCAAGCAGTCACTCCTTATTTTCTCCTACCCCTGTCCCTGACAGCTACCAATCTTGTTTCTATCTCTATGGATTTACTTATTCTGGATATTTCACATAAATGGAATCATACAATATATCACCTTTTGTGTCTCTCTTCTTTCACTTAGCATACTATTTTCAGGATTCATCCATGTTGTAGCATGCATCAGTACTTCATTCCTTTCTGTGGCTGAATAATATTCCACTGTATTTATATAACACATTTTGTTTATCCGTTCATCAGGTAAGACATTTAGGTTGTTTTCCCCTTTGGCTATTGTAAACAGAATTGCTATGAATATTTATTTATTTATTTATTTATTTATTTATTTATTTATTTTTTTTTTTTTAAGATTTTATTTATTTATTCATGAGAGACAGAGAGAGAGAGGCAGAGGGAGAAGCAGGCTCCCAAGGAGCAGGGAGCCCGATGTGGGACTCGATCCCAGGACCCTGGGATCATGACCTGAGCCTAAGGCAGACGCTCAACCATCTGAGCCACCCAGGCGCCCGCTATGAATATTTATGTACAAATATTTATTTGAGTACCTGTTTTCAGTCCTGTTTTACCTGTTTTAGGAGTGGAATTTCTGAAACATATGATAAGGCTATGTTTAACTTTTTAAAAAAGTATGATTGGTATCCTTGTCTCCTCTGGCTTAATTAGAAATGCAGGAAAACAGTGCTGCTCAAGATAGATTGCAATGCAGTTGAAGCAATCACTGGTCATGAATATTCTAAAACATTCTTC